TTCGGCTAAATACTACTCCGCTACTCTACCACTTAAGCTATCGTGACTTCGATCCGCTTGGACACCAACTTCCCATCTCAACCTCACCTCTCGAATTTTCCCTTCTTTTTGCCATTTTTCAAATGTAGTGTAATGCATTCGATTCTCGGCGACAAATGAGCCACGGAGAACATTCGTGAAGATATACTTCAATCTAATTATTAAATCCATTACAGTTCGTGGTCCGATTGACCAAATAACAACGATAGCTGAAGTGGTAGAGTAGGGGCGTATTTAGCCAAAGGTCGTCTGTTCGAATCCCGCTCGTGACACTGACTTTTTTATCTTAACCAACACCTTTCATAAATAATAATTAGTTGATATGATTGACCACTCTGACTAATCTTTAATGTAAAAGAAAACGGACTTCTGTAAAAGTGATATATAAACAGATCAACACAAATCAAAATATTTTTTTATACTAAATAACATTTTGCTCTACAGTATTTCCTTTGTCGTTTCTCTTACTGCATAATATGTGATCCCTTAAGGCACGGAAAATTTATGCATAACGCAAAAGATATATTTTATGATTATGTGTAGTTGATAGTTTCCTAGCTTCACATTTACTAAAATACTGGAAGAAGCGATTCTAGGTTTCCAAAATTTCACCTCCTCTCTGATCGCCTGGAGAAGTACATCTGAGCCTGATAGATCGCTCGAAATAAGAGTATATTTTATTCTGTGACTCGAGCAAGTGAAACCGAAAACGTGTTCTTGACTCTTCTCAGGCTAATTAGCGATGGTTGAAAAATGTGGTTAGGAAATTGTCTGTCTTCCACTGGTTTGTCTTCAATTTGTGGAAGAGAACTTTTTGGGTTTGTTATGTTCCGACAGACCCGTATCGAATTCCTCCTCGGATAAGACCCCATATAAAAATTCAATCGCCCGCATGGACATTTTTTTTCCGACCAATTTCCGCGGAGGCGTTTCAACAATTGAAATTATTGTCCTTATTAACATGATAATGAGCGGTATTGTAACGAATTCCCGCAACGGTTGCCCACGCGTTGACATCTTTGCCCGGTCTTCACCATTGTTTGCCTACTCCTCGACGGAATCGTGATGAAACAGCGGGCAACACACGTCCCATTTTGTTTGTTCGCTAATCCCCTGACCGTACGAACGTGGGCCAACGTCGGCTTCAGTGATTTGCAGCGATGATTATTGTTCATAATTCATTAGTTAATCAATTCGTTTTTCTGTATAAACAAAAATGTCTATTTTTTTGCATAAACTACAACAGTCTCTTTGTTTCGTCTCGCATTATTGCAGATTATTTCATCACAGTGCAAACTTGACGTTTCACAATTGAATAATCTACACCAACACATTCGATACAACCGCACTTAATCTTAGTTATTTGAGTTAAAATATTGGGTTGTCCGGAAAATAATGCAGGATTTTAAGTTTTCATTAAAAAAAATCTATATAAAATATTCTGTTTACGTTTACAGGATTACTCATTTGTATGAATGTCAACACTTATTAATCCTCTTCCAAATGATATTGTTTGTTTACCTCTGTAGCATTCCGCTACTTGGAAATAATTCAGTCATCCTTATAATGTCAAAGCGAGAATTTCGTACGATTTTCTTTTACGAGTTTAAACTCGGCCGAAGCGGAGCCCAAACGGCTAGAAACATTAACCAAGTCTGGGGCGAGGGTTGTGTTAATGAGTGCACTGTGCAAAGGTGGTTTAAAAAATTTCGGGAGGGAGATTTCAGCCTTGAAGATGAAGAAGGTCGTGGAAGGCCTTCCTCTCTTAATGATGATGTTCTGCGATCAGTGGTGGGTGCAGAGCAACTCAAAGTCAGTAAAACGACCGTCGCTGACCAAGTCAAGGCGATTGGAAAAGTGAAAAAACTCGAAAATTGGGTTCCACACTCATTAAACGATCGCCAAAAAAATCAGCGCTTTGATGTTTGTGCATCACTTCTTTGTCGACACAAAAATGACCCATTTCTGGCCAGAATTGTTACATGTGACGAAAAGTGGATTCTCTACGATAACACTAGACGTTCTGGACAGTGGCTCGACAAAGGAGAAGCTCCAATACATTTTCCAAAGCCCCCAACTCATCAAAAAAAGGTAATGGTTACGGTATGGTGGGCTTCATTTGGTTTAATACACTACAGCTTCTTAAATCCTGGCGAAACCATCAATGCTGAATCATACTGTAACCAAATTAATACCATGCATCAGAAATTGGCAGTAATGAAGCCCTCTTTGGTCAATCGGAAAGGGCCCATTTTGTTGCATGACAACGCTCGACCACATGTGTCACGTGTAACGTCACAAAAATTATTGGAGCTTGGCTATGAAACTTTGCCTCACCCACCCTACTCTCCGGACCTCTCGCCTACTGACTACCATTTTTTTAGACACCTGGACCACTACTTAGAACACATAATATTCAAAAATCAAACGGAACTGGAAAATGCATTTATTGACTTTATCAATTCTAAAAATTCTGAATTCTACTCAGACGGAATTAATAAGTTACCAACACGTTGGGAGAAATGTATTGAGAGTATGGGAAATTATTTTGATTAAAGAACATTGCTTTAAAGTAACTAGTTTCTTTTTTTTGTTTAATACCAAAATCCTGCATTATTTTCCGGACAACCCAATAATAATTTTTAAATTTATTTGCTATACTGCGTGCATTGAAAAATCTACTTGTTAAAACAACATTTGAAACTCGTAACATACCTTTCAATACATAGACACTTACATATAAACAAACAAATCCTAATACAACGTTACTAGAACTAAAGCAATACGCGATGAAAATACTAAGACAAAAATCCAATACATAGTTAAATTTATTTAAACGACCCCTAATATAATATAGATGAATCTTTCACTATACGTAGTATAACTGGCGAGCGGAGCACCTGATAGTTTTATATTATCGTATTTTTTGAATAACTAAAAATGTGCAACTCCAAATAAATAAACTCAAAACCTTCCGCGCCTCTCAATTTTACAGTCTCACTAGAAAATATAACTTTTATAATACTCCAACGCTTCGTCGAAAACACTATTTTCTATGAATTTTTCTTTTAATTTGCATTCTATTTTAATGCCCATCATAATGTCGTACACCACGACAGGGCTTTGTAAATATTGTGCTTCTGAATTTATTATCGGCCTTGTTTGGCTCCGTTTCAAAACAGAAGGAAATTTGGTATTTTCTTGTGTGTCTAATTCTAATATTCGAGGGATATGCATAATATCTCCCTTTTTATTACCAGTTAACATTTCAGAGCATACGATCGTCCTATCAATTTTTCTTACTATCAAACGTGTCCCATTACTTTTGCATAAAATTCTCAATAGGATAACTATACATCCTGCTTTTAAGTGCAGTTTTGCAGAGGGCAAACCCGAAGGTGTCAACTGTAAAATTTACATTTTCATAGGCGGCCTTGTCACCGCTCTCAGAATGATTATTTGAGTTCCCCTGATAGTCGTTTCACAATGAGTTGATTGATTTTTGGCACTTCATCATTTTTCGCTGCTAATATAGCTCTATTCTCCTCAGTTGAATCTAATGGACAAAACTCTTCAATTAAATTATCCCATAACATTTCCTGGGGTATTTCCGATATCTAATTATTTAAATGTAACAACAGCAGCAGATAAAATGTATGGCTAGTTATTGCAAGAGCAATTAGAACTAAAATTTTTATTTATTATACTTGACACTGTATAAAAGGTTATGCATATTTAAAAATCAATTTTTCAATCAATATAAATTCTAAAATTGAAATTAATCTTCCAAAAAAATTCAACCAGATCTATTGCTTTGTAATATCGTTGAAATCGACAACAACTTATATTTCCCCCCTCTATCTCCCACCCTCTCTCTCTCCCTCTCTCTCACTCCCTCTCTCTCACTCCCTCTCCCTCCCTCCCTCTCACTCCCTCTCCCTCACTCCCTTCCCCCTCCCACTATCTCTCTCCTTCTCTCTCTCTATCTCTCTCTCTCTATCTATCTCTCCCTCTCTCTCCCTCTCCCTCTCCCTCCGCTCTCCCTCTCCCCTCTCCCTCTCCCCTCTCCCTCCGCTCTCCCTCTCCCTCCCTCTCTTTCTCCCTCTCTCTCTTCGAGATAGCTAATCGATTTAATTGAATTAATTAAACTTAATTAAATAACATCCTCGTAGGTTTTTCTAATTTCTCTTAAATTTTCCGTTGTCTTGTAAAGTCAATAAAGATACATTTACAAGGAGAGAGAATAAAGATTGAAATCAGCCCCGAAGGCTTGCCGCTCTATGGGCGTTTGATGATTTCATCACCGTCCTGGATCGAGTCCAACAAGCGATTAGTTCGACAATTGCCCAAATCGAAAGGATTCTCCAATCTGAAGGATCCACTTGCCCACACCCCAATCACGAATTGCACGGAGGTGTGATTGAAAAATTTCTGACTCAAGTCTCAACTACCAATTCTCAAAACCGGCTGGTGTGACTTTCTATCCCAGGTGTTTCTTTGTTTTATAATGGACCATAAGATACGTCTTGATAAATTGGTAATTCATTGTTTCATAGAAATTGCACCATAAAACCAGACAAATGTGACGAATTGGGAATAAGAAACCTCCAGAAGTACAAATCAGCTACTTTGCATTTGTATATATCAAAGAATTGTTTTTTTATTATAGCGGAAAGAGTATTTACTTTCAAAATAGGTTCAGAAACAATTCAATAGTAATGCAATTTGGTGTTTGGATATTATTTCAATTTACTTTTCTTGCGTTCCCTAGACATGTAACTTTTATAAAATTATTGTGAATTAAATATGAGGTAGAACCATTCCTTTGCAATTCGCTAGGTTGATTAGGCACACGAAAAGGCAAATATTTTTTTTTTTATAACGAAGGAATCCGGCTTTCTAAAGTGTCGTTAGTTTTCCCATTGGAATAGTGTTAGTGAGGTCTTGTTTGTTTCCACCAGTTGTACGAAATTTAGTGCGATTCAGTCGAAACCAAGTCGAGGAAGCGTAGAAAGGAGTACCGACAATGGTATTGACTCCGTATTTCGACAAGTGGATGTTAAAATGCTGATAACACAGTACACGGCACTCCTTCTGCAGACCACCAAGAAGACAGCCCTGGTTTCGCCCACGTTCGTCCACGGGAGAATCAGGTAAAATATCTTCGCCCATGTCTCAATTTGTAATTCTCACACAATTTGCACATATTACTTTAACCTCACATTATTTCAAACTCGCTGATTTAATATAAACGATATTATCAAGGTGAGAAGTATTTAAAAGTATTTATAGGCTATTTTCATAATTATACTTTCTTTACTCGTTCGAAGATTTTGTATTTATATACTAATTGTGAAATTCAAGTCGATACTAAATTTTTTTTATTTTTTTGAAACATCATAAAATCAATTTAGTTATGATTGTTTGTTTGTACTTTCAATGGTAAATAAAAAATTAATCCTTTTTTTTTCATTGAATAACAATGGTAAAGATATAAAGTAGTGTTTAGACTGGAGAATTTTTATTTATAAATTTATTAATTTGTATAAAGTGTATTTTTAATGAGTTTTTTCCTTATAAGCATGAATAATAATATAATTATTCAGAAATCGTGAGATACGGTCTGGTGTGATGTAGGTTTCAGAAGAACATTTTCTTTATCGTGCCAACGTTTCGATCTTTATTGAGATCATCTTCAGGGCTCAAAGTGTTTGTCTTCTGTGTAATTGTGTCATTCTTGCGTGTCGTGTTGAGAGAGCGTGTTGCACGGTCTGCACTCTCAACACGACACGCAAGAATGACATAATTACTCAGAAGACAAACACTTTGAGCTTTGAAGATGATCTCAATAAAGATCGAAACGTTGGCACGATAAAGAAAATGTTCTTCTGAAACCTACATCACACCAGACCACATCTCACGATTTCTGAATAATTATGGACTAACGGTCACTAATCAACACACATAGTAATCATAGCTGACCGCAATGTGGTACTTTAAAAACCATGATATAAAAACTGGAGTTAGGCAAGGATGCGTTCTAGGTTCATTTTATGTCTTGAGTATTCATAGTACTTCCCTTATTCGGATAATTTAGTTACAGCACAAATTGCAGACGATGTTGCGGTCCTATGTTTTGATCCAATTATGTCTCCAGATGTCCCCTGGTTTCGCGTACTTAAACGATTTAAATCAGGAAGTGATTACCCTAAACGGTAAACTAGTCCCTATCGTGGAGACTGTCCGTTATCTGGGTCTCACTCTGGACATTGAACATACCAATGACTTAACCAAACACGGGAGACTCCGTATTTTATGCTTAAAACTCATAATAGGCCCAACATCACCATTGCCCCTACACTTAGGAGGCTTTCGTACATTGCTTTAATCCGGCCGATAAGGCAATAGAGCTGTGGATTATGGTGTTCAGCAGCAAACATATAAAAAGAGTGTAGACCAACTAAAACATATTTGTAAGGCCAGCAGCCCAGTGGTTTGTCAGCACTTTGCGTAATCGTTGGACATACCGGAAGTTGATCTCTCTCATCATTAAGGCAAGCTACATACTTTTTCACTCCTCATTGGTAGATCATGCTAATCCAACTCCCCAGCACATATCAAACAATCCTTCACCACCGAGGAACGATAGACCCTTAAAATGAAATAATGAAAATAAACTAAAAGAATTTTTATATTGCATATGAATATTATTACGGATTGTATATTGTACGTATATTATTTTTGAGCACTTATTTAATTGATTTGTTTATTCGATTGTTATTTTTTTCGTTTATCGATTTATTTACAAAAGTGAAGTGTACTTGAGTTATAATTAATTAATTCTGTGAGGAATGTGGTACCTCACTACAAGTGTCGTGCTCAACTGAATTGTTCATATACAAAAAGTATTCGTAAATAATAATAAAACACATGGCTGAACACTCGGCCATAAGAAATTAATAACTGTTACCAACGAGTAAGCTTTAATTAAATTAAAATACCCATACTTGTTTTCGTAATAGTACTGGCTTAAATTTAACCTGGAAATTTCCCGTCGGGCCGTTCTTGCTTTTTCACAAGTGTCTTTGTAGGGCGGTTCTAGTTAAACCAAGCACGCCTTTGACGATGGAAAGGGGGTGCGGTTTACCGTGTTCCGAGGATGCGCCTCTTCCATTCCCGAAATGTTCAAGCTAAGGGTTGCGGTCTAAATCTGGAAACCTTTACGCCCTGGATATCCTTACAGTTAACTATTTCACTTTGAACAAACGGCTGACGATTCGGCAAGGTATTTCAGTGATTTTATCACCGACGCACGCTTTTATTTTTATTGTAGATACGATTCGAATATTGAAGTAGTAAAAAAGAAAGTTGAAATAATTCCACCCCGATTCCTGCTTAAATTCTTTATGTGAGAGATTGGATTTTTTCTCGCTATAGGTATAAAAATGTCCCGGCGGTCCGCCCACATTTCACATCGTCCTTGCTGGCCCAATCCGGCCCGGGAAACAAATTGAATCCAGACAAAATTGAATCTAAACGATTTTTGTGCCCGATTATACGGACCGTGTGTTTGTAACCCATTGATTCATCCCATCGGGAAAATCCTGGTGCGATTTGTTTATCTGTTTGTTGGAGAAACCCGCATAGAAAATTGCTAAAGGGTAAATCGTACTGAAAGATCGTACGTTCTGCAAAAAAGGTCTCAAATTTTCATAAAAACTGGTCGTTTCCTGGTTATTTTGATTGATATGTTTCTTTTGAGAACATTCAACGTAGTCCTAAGACTTTCAAATATAGATGGACCTATTATTATTACTGGGCATATTATTCCGTTGGTTTAAACTATTTCTACTAACTAAACCTAAAATTTGTATTTCTTAAATTTTTAAATAACCGGACAATATAAAAATTGATTATTCGGAAATCATGAGATGCGGTCTGGTGTGATGTAGGTTTTAGAAAAACATTTTCTTTATCGTGCCAACGTTTCGAGCTTTATTGAGATCATCTTCAGGGCCTCGGATTTCCAAACATTCTTTAAATTTATCAAATACATGCAGGGTGTGGAAAAAAGTAAATTTATACAATGCAAAAAAAAAATAATGTTTTACATTCAATCAAAATATTTCTACCCACTCAAAGTTTTTTTTCTGCGTAAGTTTGAGTGAGTAGAAATATTTTGATTGAATATAAAAAATTATTTTTTTTTGCATTGTATAAATTCACTTTTTTTCCACATCCTACATGTGTTTGTTAAATTTAAACAATGTTTGTAAATCCCAGGCCCTGATGATGATCTAAATAAAGATCGAAACGTTGGAACGATAATGAAAATGATTTTCTGAAACCTACATCACTGTGTATTCTTTTATTTGTTACTTTGTTTTATCCTGACAATAGTGGTATTGAATGTGCTTTATAAGCTTTGAAAACCAACGATTTTTAAGAAAATGTAGATATTTTCCACACAGGCCCTGGTTTTTCATCAGGACTGGATAGATCAACTGGTGGTCAGGGAAGCAGGCCGAAATTTGGGCACTTGGGCTAGTAAGCAAAATGTTCTATTAATTTAAAGTGAGTTTCACATGTACAGTGTGATTTGCGTAGGATTGCTGACTTAGCGGCAGGGTAATATGAACGTCAGGTATGGGGTTTGTCCGTATGCTGCTATCCTCAAAGAACGTTTTTCTGTGGCTTCCATTTGCTGTTCCCTTCCTCGTTACTTTGTCGTTACATGTACAGCATCAATCTGAAGCACGTCGGGGAAACCTGCCTGTGGTAGATTTGTACGTTTTCAACTTCAATTCTTTTTAGTCCAGCTCTTTGATCCAAAAAATTGGACTTCAATTCCAAAGTCGGATTGCAGAGTGTGGAGAAAATTGTTTGTGTCCTAGACCAAAGAATATATCATTGCTCTGATTAGCAGAAGAATCTTAACAGTTCTCTCTCTCTCTCTCTCTCTCTCTCTCTCTCTCTCTCTCTCTCTCTCTCTCTCTTTCCTCTCTAACTCTCTCTCTGAATTTATTTTTTCCTNTCCTACTCCTCCTCCTCCTCCTCCTCCTCCTCCTCCTCCTACTCCTACTCCTACTCCTCCTCTTCCTCCTCCTCTTACTCTCCTCTCCTCTCTCTCCACTATCTCCTCTCTCAGTCTCTTTCTTTTTCTCTTTTTCTGTCTGTCTTACTCTATCTACCTCTATATCTTTCTTTCGCTCTCTATCTATACATACATATCTAGCTATTGCCCTTCCTCCTTCCTTTCTCTCTTCCTCTCCTTTTCTCACTCACTCACATTCTTTCATGGATTACATTTCCAACCCCTTTTTGATCGGAAAGCAATGCTGATTGTTATGAGACGAGGTGTTTTAGACCTTTTTGATTGAGTTTTCTTTGCCATGCGGTCCTACCCTTCCCCCCGGTAACCAAGGTTTCATTTGGCTTCGCCCTGTATCATTACATAGAATCTTCCGTCATCCTACAAAATAAATATTTTTAGAAAGTCTTCTTTGCGGAAAATGTTAACGTAAGTTGAGTTTTTAGATAGATAATTACGTTCTTGAAAAAAAAAAAAACTGATTATCTTCCAAGCAGTAAAATTTTGCATTAAAAATTTAACTAGAATTTCTATTATAAAACTGTCATTATCTGAATGGAAATCTTTTCTTAACAAACTTGGTAATCGACAGGTTTTTATTTCGCTTGTTGAACTTTAAGAGGAACGATTTTTTTAAATACGTACTCAGTGAGATGGTAATTAGTTATAAATAACCAAATTGGGTCTTCATGTTTCTTTCTGAAAAATATTCTTCTTAATAAGGAAATTTATTTTATTCATGAAACTTAAGAAGATAAATATTCATAATATAGGTGAGGCTCAGTAATGAAGAGTGCCTTGAATAATTTATCTTGTTACTTTTTTTCATGTTTCTTCTTACTCGGTTTTCGGTATTTTTCGTTAGTTTAAAATATGAGATCCAATATCGCATATTGCGTATAGCAATTTGCCCCCTGGTCGATTGATGAAACCTTAAAATGGTGTTGGGCTCAGAAATCAGAGTAATTACGGTCAGATTATTGCCAACTGTTAATCTCTCGCGTTATTAAACTGTCTCTTCCCCTCTCCATAAATTAGGAGAAAGAGGGACCAGTCGTGATA